TGCTCAGAACATTCACCTTGTGAAGCTGGAGGAGGCCTGGAGTCAGGTGTGTTTCTTTGGAAACTCCTGTTCCGTGGAGATGTGTAGAATTCCCTGTGTTTATGATCCTGGCCTGTGAGAACAGCCCGAGCAGGGCTGTGCAGCAGGACAGCCGAGCTGTGTGCTGTGCCCAGCACTGTGAATTCACACAGCAGTGGTGCCACAGCCCTGCAGGGCACTGGAGGCTGAGTGCCCACTCCCTTTGGGCTTTTGTTGGAGTTTGCTGTTTCCCTCACTCACGCACAAGTGGCAAGTGGCCAGGGCTGATGGACTGCTCACTTTAGGTCATCCAAAATGGCAGAGAGCATTTGCACCAGGTGTTATTTCAGGACAGATCACTCTGTCATACTGAAATGACCCAATTTGCCTTCAAGGGTAAGACCTGAAGGTACCAACTGCATCCACAAGGATGATCTTTTCAGCTCCCTTCCAGCTGGTCTCCAAAATGTTCTGATAAACCACATCTAACAGTGCTCTGCTCCATGTTCTCTATACTCTGTACCCCAGGAACTTAGAGACACTGCTTCGTGACAACATCTGCCATTAACCCTCACAGGGAGCTGCAATGGGACAGCCAGGAGCTTCACCCTGCTCTCCACTCAGTCCGCAACACAAAGTTTTCCCAACCAACAGCATTGATTGTCTTCCCCACACCCTCTTCCCCCTTTCCCATTTGCAGCCACAGCATAACCATCCCTGCAGCTGGGCCAGCAACTTGGACAAATTCCCCTTTGGAAAGGACTGAATAGAGTGGGAACTGGTTTGATTTCTCTTGCCGTTTCAGCACAATTTAGCAGCTGGAAACAAGGAAGAGAAACTGGTGCCACATGACAAAGCTTTCTACAGATCCCGGCTGACATCCCTGAAGCAGCATCTAAATGAGCAGTTTATCCAGCAGGAGTTATTGCAGCAAACCACAGCTCCGCAATGGTTACCAAAGGTGGCAAACAGAGCCTCTTGGGGGTAGGTAAGTTTCCTTGGCTACTGGGATTTAGCCATGCTGCTGGGAGCCCAGTGGGTTGGTCAATCTCTTGCTGTGGTTCCTTGCCCATCACTGGTTTCCCTGTGGGTTATCTATCCACAGAGCCAAGCAGCATCCTCTGGGCTGAAGCCTCCTTGTATCCAGGCTCCTTCCTATAGCTGTTGCAGCTTGCATGTGGCCCCAGGCACAGCCAACCGTCGCCTGGAGTTTCTCTCAGCGTGCAGGGGCTTGTGTAAGCCTTCAGGTTGGCACCTCATTAAGAGCCAGTGGCGTGCGAAGAGCTCACTCGCTCTCCTGCCGACGCTGCTTGGCTGCAGATGCTGCTCAGCTGGCCTGGGACCAGGTAGCAGCAGTTTGCCAACACCTTTCCAAAAGCAGAAAGGCTGAGCTCTCTCTGCCAGCCTGACTGGGAGAAGTGGGAGCTCGGAGCACTTGCCAGCCCGAACACCTCCCATTGGCTTCATCCCCATGCAGTGCCTGGCTACCCTGACCCAACTGACCACATGCCATCTCACCACCACCAGTACTGACTGCAGCCAGCAGCCAGCTCTCCTACAGGTGTGCAGGTCAGAGGTGTTGGCTCTAAGGGTACAAAGGCATTACGGGGGGCTGATTTTGAGCTTCCTAGCCCCAAAGCTAAACCCTCTGGCATCTGTGGCACAAACTGAGTGTGCAGGCATGGCTAACAGCTTCCCAGCTCTGCACAGGACACTTCTGACAAGGCAATCAGCATCAGGTTGTCTGTACAAACAACCTGTGGTGGGAGGAAAAACAGGAGGAACAATCACAGCCACCCTTTGGCAACAAGATGCCAACATTTGCAATTGGCTTTAAATATTTTCAGGATGCTCAGCGAATTAAGGGGACTTTTCAGAGGCCTTGTTTGTCTTTTATCAGTACAGCCAGTCTACAGGGTTAGAACCAAAAGCTCTGTGGGTCACAGCAATGACTGCTGTAAGTTACTACTGGCTTAAACCTGCCTTGGGCACAACAAAATCCATCTCCAGAGAGGAATCCCTTCTCCTGAGCCTCTCCTGCCACGTGGACTCTTCGGCTACCAGCTTCTGCACTGTGGAGGGCTGAGCCCAGGCACACACTTTTGCACACACTTTTGCACACACCAAGGTCTGCTCCTAGGCCGGAGGCTTCGTCAGAACATCAAGTTAAACCCTGAACATGCCAACACAAGCAGACAGAGTGCGCTGTACAGCACTGGTGTATTCCCTGACCTCATTCCCAGAAATGGCTGATCCCTTTCTGAAGCACTTTCCTCGAAAGAAACCAGACTTAGGCAGACACCTGCCCTGGAAACATGCTGTTTGGCTGCTCCAGGTTTGGGGACATTGTCAGCAGGGCTTTAAGCACTGCATCTGCTCTGCCTTGCCCATGTGCCTGGCAGTGCCTCAGCCATAGCATGAGAAGGCTCCCAGCACTGGAAATGGCTTCTCCGGCGGCTCATCCCTGCCGAGCTGCATTAACTCCCTGCCACGCTCAGGAGCCTGCACAGATGATGTGTTTAAACACCTTATAGGACCAAGAATAGGAGGGAAAAAAACCCTCAATACACTTAAGACCTGTAGTATTCTCAGTGGAAATTTTCTGTCCTCCCTGCTGACGCTTTGCTGCAATGTTAGGTCAGAGCAACCACAGCTCACCCTTCCTCACAGACACAAAACAAGGCTCCTGCAAATCACATTCTCATGGGAACATCTTCTAATTAACAATTCCCTTTTCTGTTTCATATCTCTTCCAGGGTTTCTGTACTTCAATACCCTTCAGGAGGCAATGGGTCATGAAGATCATCCAGGACCATGGGCTGCATCCTGAGAAGCCACAAGCACCTGCAAATCTGTGCTGGTCTAGATGGAAATGGGAAAGCAGCCACACCTTGGTACAGGTGCAGGGGACCACAGGGCATGTGGCAAAGCGCATGAGGGGAGCAGAGAAAGGAGTCATGAGTTATGCTCCTTGCAGTGACAGTTGTGGGAAGCTAAAGCTCAAGGTGACACACCCACAGCTGGAGACCTCAAGGAACCCAAACTGCTTGCAGCATCCCACGTGCAGCTGAACTGATGTAGTTTCAGAGAACCCAAAACTTGCCATGTTGCAAACTTGGGTAACTGTGAAAAAAGAACACCTGAAATCCTCTGCAAAGTGCCTTCCTGGCCTCTACAGGACACCAACAGGCAAGTTCTCACCCTTGGGAACATCTAAAAAAACCATCTAACATCAAAGGTTCCAACAAGGAGAGAAGAGACTTTCTCACCTCTCCTTTTTCCACCTGCTCTGCTGTTCCCACTCCCTCCAACCAGTGGTTTTCCAACTCTTTCAGCCAAGATTCAAGCTCCCCAGACAGATTTCCCTGCCCTGACACACTTGGATTCACAAGGCTGTTCAAAGGCTTTATAGCCATTTCTTCCTTTCTGATCCAAGGCAGTCAATAAACCAGTCCTTGCACAGCTCCACTGGTGCACTCACATTCCCAGCAGGCTCTGACTCCCATCCTGAGAGGAACTTCACCAGGTGCCCCCACCAACTCGGCAAATTCTGGCCTCATTTACATACAAACTTGCATCCATTTCATTCAGCTATTTAGCTGCTACAAACCATCACCTACTGCTCAAACAATGCCTGTTGGGAGAACAGCACCCCCAGGAGCTGCTGCAGAGGTTTAACGACACGCTGGAGCCCTGCTGGTTCTCCAGAGTGCCCATCCAAACCTCTGTGCCCCCCAGCGAGGGTGTGCAACAGGCAGATAAACACGTGCAGATATTAAGGGTGAGAATTATTTTTTCTTTCTTTTTTTCTAAACAAAACATCAGAGAAAAGTGTTTTATTGTTACTAATAAAAAATAAGCAAACAATGCTCTAGAGTTTTAGGCCATCGGTTCTCTATCTCAGATTCAGGGTGTGGAACACGTTAACAGGGAAAGCGTCTCAGGGACATCTCCCCTCGGCCACAACCAGGCACCCTTCTCCCTTCCCTCGGTGAGCAAGTCACACCCTGATGCAAGTACAGCAATTGTTTACATGTAAAAGTAAGATTAGGAAAGTATTTAATGCATTTGTAGCCTTTTTTCCTTGTTTTGTTTTTTCCTGCTTTTTTTTGCCTTTTTTTTTTTTTTTTTGTATAAAAAAGAAGTGATTTAGCAGCTGGAAAGAAAAAGACAGCATGGCGTGAGCAGCGAGTGCTGCACAGACCCCCAGCAACTGCTCCGCAGGCTACTCACGGCCCACAGACCACAGTTCACCAGCTCCAGTTTTGGGCTTCACTGACGTCGCAGAGTGTTTCATGGCGGACGCTTCGTCACAGTGAGAGCCAGCAGGTCATCTTTGGTGGCTGAAGAGACACACCAGACGTCACCTCCTGCGCAGGAGCTCGGTTTGGGGCCCCGAGCAGGGACGGCCACGCGAGTCCGCTCCCGGGCCGAGGATGCCGTGGCAGGCCGCGCAGAGCTGGGCCGAGCACCTTCCGGCCCTTCCCTCAGGCAGGGCGCTCTGCTCCAGCGTGGGTCTGACGGGGCGAAGGGCACGGGGTCTCTGCCGGGGTGCCACGTCCAGGATGCCAGCGCCGATCAAGTGCCACGAGAGACACTGCGGCCGCAGGGCCGGAGAAGCTGAGCTGCGATCCGACCGCCCGAGGTCCCTCCCGGCACGCCGAAGGGCAGCAAGTTCTCTCGGTGGGAAAGGTCTCCCCAGCAGCAACCCCCTTTTATTTTTTTCCTTTTTTTTCCTTTTTTTTCTAAACAACAATTGCTCTCACCCCTCATTTTTGGTAGTCACACATACAGACACACACTTTATGTACACAACTTGGCCGAGGACCTGTGCCAAGCACCGCTCGGGATGGTGCACACATTCAGCAGCTGTCAAAGGAGAAGTCGTTTTACTTTCTTTTAAACTTGCAATGTTTGTCTTTATTTTGTTCTTTATATTTTGAAAGTGAAAAGAAATAGTATTGAGTCAATTTCTTTTTTTCTTTTTTTAAATATTTGTTCTATGTATTTACAAGCCTTAAAGTTGCTCTAAAGGTTCTGAGAGTATCACTAGTACTTTTTCCTGGGGTAGCACTGTTTTCAATGAGTTATTTTCGGAGCACTCTGGTCCGCAGAGGTTTTCCCAAACGCATTTCTTTCCGATCCAAAGTTATGTATGGTTTGATTACTATTTTCATTTTAAATTTCGGAAGCAAGCTGAGAGGCAGGCAGAAAAATCTGATGACAATTCGAAAATAAATTGATCTCGCCCTCATCTAGCTCACCCCAACCCCCTTGAGAGCTTTGTCTACTTCTCATGCTTTGAAACAAAACTGAGGTGCATATGAAGGGGAGGGAAATTTATTTCTCTGCTTTTGTTCTATTATACAATTTGTTTACAGAAACTGCAAATTTAAAAATTACACTGGCATTTGCAGTCCTTAAAATAATAAATTAAAAGTTTTCAACTTTTTTTTTTCTTTGCTAAACGGATTTGTTTCGCCGTGTGTTTTCCTAAGTCTGAGTCCTTGTTTAAAAAGAAAGAGATTTAAACAGAAAATATTTTCTATAAATAACACGTGTTTTGGTTTAGTGCTCCCGCCCTCAGGTTTGAAGTTTACTCCTGTGGTTTTTTTGTTCAAGTACCTTTTTGCCTCCATGATCACCTCGTGTTTCCCTGTTTTGCCTCTCCCACCGGTGCGTGTGTGGGGCAAGGGGGCTCAGCGCGAGAATTGGCCTTGCTGCACTGTGATTGGCGAAGACGTGAAACTTTTTAAAAAAATACTTAAATCGTTTCTTTTGTTTTTGTTGGTTTGTTTTCAATCTGTATTTTTAGTTTCAATTATCCTCGGACTCCTCTTCGGCCTCCCGCAGCCACGTGAAGAACGCCGTGACGGATTTTAGCGCGACTCCCTTCCCGTTCTGCTCGGCCGGGTCCTTGCTGCTCTCCCACTTGTAGAAGGCATCCTCCGAAATGACCTCCTCGTCGTACAGGCAGTCAAAAAACATCCGCAACAGATCTGCAGGAAGGGAATCGATGAGAGAGCGCCCGTCAGGCTGCGCCGCCCCAGCCCAACACGGCTCACGGGCGAGGGGAGCAACGCGAGCTCAGCACCAGAGACAGACAAGGGAAGGAAGGGCTGGCACCGAGTCACTGCTTCCTGGCTGCCTACACTCAGTGAGGGGACACAGGCCCCTCTGCTGCTGCCAGAGAAAAGGGAAAGCAGCAGTGGGAACACGTTATCTAGAGACTGTCCAGCAAGCAGAATCCACAGCAGCTCATCTGCCCTGGACCACACAGCCCCACAGCCTGGCTCGCCTCCGGCACTGGATTTCTGCATAATGAGCAACTAACACTGTAAGGGCACAAGGGATGACCAAACTGGGTGTTTCAGGCACTCTGATTTTGTGCTGCAGATCCCCTGAAATCCCTATTTCTTTGGCAAGCCCATCACCTCTTGTCCCAGAAGACGTTTCCGCAGTGCCTCTAGGACAAGACTCATCAGTTGTCCAACTCATTTTATTCCCTCCAAGCCCACAGACACCTGTGAAGCAGCACTGCAATTACAATCTCCAGGTACTGTAAACTCCACAGATTACTTTTTACTGCTCTTTTTTCACCCTCTCTTTAACAGCAGAGGTTTGTCCATCTTTCTGTGTGGTTTACAGAAGCACCCACAGCCTCTGGCCATGCATTTGGGGACCTGCACTGCTCCAAAAGCTGGAACCTGGGCAAACTGAACCCACCACATGCTGTCTCCCCTCATCCGCTACATGCAAAGGTAAGGAAAAGCACATCCTCTTCCAGTCTACTCCCACAGACACCCCCTTTCCTCACGCTCGAACCCCCAGCACAGACACAATACTTACTAGGAGGTTGATCAAGTTTTACTATTGATGCTTGTAGTGCATAAAGTGCTTGTAGTTCCTTCTCTGTGTCTGAGTCTAGGTACTTGAGTAAGATGGGCACTCTCTGTTTGATAACAGCAGTGTCCACACGGAAGCTGGAAGAGTCCGCTGAGGGGAGAGAAGAAAACAGGGTCAGCTTTGGTACACAGCAGCAGGGATGGGTCTCTTACCACCTTTAGTTACCAAAACAGAAATCACAGACACAGGTTAGCGTGGAGAGAAACGAGGGTATTTCTGATCAATGGCTTTTTCTGGAACTCTTGGTCCTTCCAGTTCCCCAGATTCAACCCGCATCTGCAGTGACCCTGGCCCTGAACACATGCAGGAGAATCACAACCTGACTCTGCAGTGCCAATCGTTGTGTTTCTGCAGGTCACTTGGTTTAGAAGGTTTTTAGACACAGAATCATAAGCTGCGCATGACAGGAATATGCAGCAAACGCATTACAAGTCCATCAACACATGGATAAATTATTCAGCAGCTTTTAAGTGGATCATGCAAGACAATTCAGAAGAAAAAACATCTTGATTAGAGGCAAGGTCGAAGCCTAAACCCGAGGATGATGCTCCTGCCACATATCAGGAATCCGGCGCCGGTGACACTAGGTGGCACCAGCAAAGTTCTGTTCGAGCAAGAGGAAGGAGCTGGGCTGTCCTGCCCCTCACACACGAGTCCAGACCTTCTCTCCCCCAGGACTCTCACAGCTCACACAGAATCAGGAGCTTTACAAACGCCGTTTTTTGCCTTGTGGATGCCAACAGTAAAGAGAAGCAAATGAACTGACCAGATGTTTCTGGCTGCAGTTCTTCACCCAACATCCATGAGGGTCTGAGGTTCCACCTGGGAACCCATCCCCTTTCCTGCATTTCCAGCTGACTGCTGTACACCCAAGCAATCCCCATAGAGCATCTTTCCAAAATTCAGTCTTTGCACACAAAGCTCTCCCAAGACCGAGGCTCAGGCTGGAATCTTCCTGCAGCCCGTGCTGCCAACCGGTGCGCAGCAGAGCGGCTGCAGTGGCAGCGCCCACGTGCTCGTGCTGCCACAGGAGAGGAAATGCTCATGACCTTAATAATGTCCCACTCGTTTCCACTTTTGCTAGGAAAACCAATGAACGATCTGGCACTACCCAGAGCTGTTTGAAGCATCTGCTCACACGAGGTCACCGGGACACGCCGGGGCCTCGGGCACAGCGTGACCGGCACAGCACCCGGCTGTGCACGGGGAAGGGACACGGTGCTGCCAGCACAATGCCATAGGATGCAAAAGCCTTAGTGTGTGATTAAACACAGCCTTGGGGAGGGAAAAGTGATATAAACTCGAAAAACATCCGGTAATTCTTTGCAGGTTTGGTTTGTGTGGTGATTACGCTGCAAGTTACTCACCTATAATAGCTGCTTTACAAACTGCTGTCATTAAAGCTCTAAGGAATGTAGGTGAACTCATCTGGCTTTCATCTAGATTAGCCTGAAATCAAGACGAAATGGAGCAGTTAAAAACATAGAGTGAGAGCTTCCAAACTGCCCCTGAACCTGCTGCAAGGCCAAGCTCAGCAGCAGCTGCTGCACTACAAACCCAGTTCTCTCCCTGCAGACACTCGGTTTTCCCACTCACCCCGACACTCCCCTCAGGTACCTCAACAAGCAACACCAGTTCCCATGGGATCAATGTATCACTGAACACCTCCCACAAGGAGCTGTTTGTCTAGAGAACCAAACCAATACCACTGGGCTCCTGCAACACCCTTACACAGAGTTTTGGGCTTTTCCAACAAACTTTACAGTGTGCTCCTTGGGTGGAGATTTGTTTGCAGAGACTTGTTTTCTTCTTGTGGAAGAAACTCAGAGAATGGCTGTGGAACTTGTCCAAGGCTTCAAAGAGCCTGTGGGTGATCCCAGATTTTCAGTGCTGCTTTCATTCCACTCTCTTCTTGAACAGCAGTGGAAAAATGACATTTCTAACACATTGCTCTGCCACAGAAATAACTGAACCGAAGCTGACCAAGGTTTGGTGTAAGCACAGATCTAAATGCATCAGGCTGGGTATAATTTCAGACACTAAATATCTGGATTAATGGACACAGCCAGAGACAGAGAGCAAAGATCAGCGGGTTGACAGGGCTTTTCCCCATCATTTATCTTTGTCTTTATGTTCTCTTCCAGTGCCTGGCCCAGTGCATGCCCTCAGTGACTACCCAGGATGTTTTTGCAGGGGGGAATTTCCAGAGGTAATGTTGGAAAAAAGCAGTGAGAAGGTTTTCTCCCGTTTTGGGAAGACAGTATGCAGCAGTGCATGGAATAAAAACGAACTGGCACAAACAGTGCATTCAGTGTAACAAGTCTAGAGTATTTAAAAGAGCATTACACAGTTAATATGGCTGAAGTCTTCCTTCTTAGAGCTTACTCTAAAATAACTGATTATATTTTAGATTTTAATTCTGTGAAAGTGCTTAATCTTCTCAATGTCCTATACCCAGGGCGGAGCCTGCAAAGACGCTCCTTCAGACCAGAAAATATTGACAAAAGCAGTTGGAAGGTGTGTAGGGAGGGTGAAAATCGTCTTTGTACCTCTACCCAATCAAAGATTTGTTCATCATTCGCCTTGTCCTCAACAATGAGTTTTTCCAGCTGCTTGTTCAGCTCTTCTGCAGAGAGTTCTTTCTCTGAAAGTGCTTCTGAGGAACTGGAACAGTCAGACTCTGTGAACTCCAACTTCTGCAACAGCACAAGTGAGAATGAAAATTAGTGCAAGGCACTTTTCTAGGCTGAATTAAACCAGACTGAGAGAGCAAACTGCACTTCATTCTGCTTCCTGGCATCTTCCAGCTGCTCAGTTATCATCACAACAGGATAATTTTTCCCTGTTCTAAGCATTATCAAGTATGTGATAATAACATGTGGAAATTGCATTATCCAGCAAAGACAACCAGGCACCTCAGGGCAGCTCCAGCCCCACACAAGGTGGGCAAACACACGCAAAACCGAGCGCATGTTGCTCAACTGGAGTGAGGGGGAGCTGGAAAGCAGTGACCAGAGCTGGCCCTGACTCAAAGGAATTGCAGCTAACACCCCAGTTCACTGCAAACTGTGGCAGAGGAGCACAGTCTCCTCAGCAAACCCCAGGCCTTGGTAATCCGTTTCATTTCCTGCAGCACTTCCTAAGTGCTAAAACTGGGCAGAGGATCACTCAGAGCTCCAAAGGGAGACAGACCTCTGGCATCTTCCTGAGAAGCAGCACCAGCAAGAACTGTGAGCTGCCTCCAACAGTCCTGGCTCCCTCTGGGATCATCATCCAAGGTGGGATGAGAGAATAACTGACACCATTTATTGTGGCCTTTTTGCAGATTGTCTGTCCTTGCAAAACTCACTGAGTTTGCTTTCCCCAGCTGGAGAAACAGGTCTCCTAGAGGAAGCCAGGTAATGGGAAACGTGTGCCTGGGAGCCCGGGGGGAACGGCCATCCGCCCTGTGCTTCAGAAAGGAGGTGCTGAATCATCTGCCCTTACCCTGGTACAACTCACCCCATGTCCCAACTACACACAAGAAGGTGATGGAAGAGGATGAACAAATGGGACATGGAACAAAAAATCAGTGTGCTAAAACCACTGAGCAAATGATCTGAACTCACTTGTTCCATGAGAAAGGTATGTACATCCTCCCCTTCGGGCAAGTAGTCCTTCCAACTGAGGCCAGACTCCCTCCATAAGGCTCCCACTTTCTTATGGCTCTGAAACACAAACAGTTTGCTGCTCATTTTCAGGACCTGAGGGACCCCAGGGAGCTCACACGAGGCCGAGTGGTGCAGCTGTGTCAGGAGAAATAACAAACTGTTCAGCCACCAAACAAACGCCCCGAAATGAGTGAGAACATCCGGAAATCCCGTGCAGGAGATGTCACATGTGCAATCCTGCCACAGGTATGCACATCTCGTCAGGTGGGCAAACACCTCGGTGACGGGGAAGAAACAAGGCAGAAGGTGACACGGGGGGTTCGCAGCAGCTTCCAAGAGTACCCATGAACAGTGACACGTGGAACAAGGCAGGTTCCCAGGGCCATGACACACAGCTGCACTCAGCTGACTTAGATCCTTCTCCTGACTTACTCCATGACTCCACACTTCCCAGCCTGGATGTTAGGCATCAGCAAATTAGCTGCTCTGAGAAAATTCCTTATTTACACAGCTGTTTTCTGTGCAGAGAATCAAGAGATTCAGGTACATAATCCCAAGTTCTCTCTTCAACTCTCAGAATTTACTGCAAACCCTGAGCAGTGCCTGTGAGCACAGACAGTTCAGCCTTCGCAGTCTCCGATGTCACACTGACCTTTCTGCCTCCTGCCCCAGGGGCACACACACAGCTCTGACAGCAATAAAAACACTGAGAACAACCAGCCCTTTTCACCCAAACGCTTTGCCAAAATGTTTCTTTACAGCACCTGCACACGGGAGATTGCTGCACATCCTGAGCCAAGCACTGATAAACTCAGCCTGACTTTCAGTTTACCAAGCAAGTTACAATTCCCAGTTTACAATGCAGGTCGCTAAGAGCCAACTGTGCATAGCTCCTGCTCTGATCCATCAGGATCTGGATTAGATGACTGATACTACACTGAAATACTTGAGTCCAAGCCTCGGCCTGGACGAGACCAGATCAGAGAGCTGTGCCAGAAAGAGAAACTCAAGGCTGTGCTTCCACCCCTGGAGCACAGCAGCTTTTCTTTCACAGAATAGGAAAAAAACAATGGAAGTCAACTGACTAAAATAAATAAATCAAGTCACTATTTGCAGTGTTAGACTGAAATGCTCCTGGAACATTCAACCCTACTTGAATGCATGCTTGAAAAAATAAAAAAGGCAAGTGAGGGATTTTACAGGGTTGGAAATGGACACTATCCAAAGTGAGGATTTAGCTGGATTTAAAAAAAGAAAAAAACAAAAACGGAGACAAGAGTTATAGGGAAACCACCAAACTGTTTGGACACATGACTGTGAGGTGTGTAAGAGAGCTCCCCAAGTCACACGGTGAGGTGTCACTACCCCTAGTGATGGGTGAATCTCAAGAGTTGGCAGGTTTAGTTTGGATAAGCACCCAGAGGTCTGAGGCCATCTGAAGCTTATCCGAACCCTGAGAACCTCTGCAGTCTGCAAGAACAGCCCTCTCGCAAGATTCCCGGCACTTGCTGCTTCTGGAGAGCCCAGAAATCCCTTGAGAATGTCCCTCTTGCAGTATTTCAGCACTCTAGCTTCTGGGAGAAGCCAGGTGCAAAGGTACCTGCGAAAGGGAAAAGTGATGAGAAAACAAAACGTTAACTCAACTCCTGGCACCTCGCAGGGCTTGGCTGGAGACTGGGGGTGCAGAGAGGGGTGTCCTAGGCGAACTGGACTAGCTGGCCCATCCCTAAATGTCCTCACGTGGGAACTGTGTAGGCTTCATGCACGAACACGAACGCACCGCATCCAGCTCCTACCCACAGGGGACAGGAGCTCCTACACACTCACCATTTGTTTGCATAGAAGGTGCAAGATTTCAGCAAGCAAGACTCCAGCTCTTCCCACAGGAAGCAAGGGTTTGCTAAATTCTCTAGAATGAAAGAAAAACAGGTATGTTTTCTCTATAATTGGCATTTTGAGTGCAAGGCAAGGGGTAGTGATCAAACTGTGGCAGGAAATCACCTTTAACTTCTGCCAGGGAGGAAGGATTTGATCTAGCTAGTGCTGCTGATAGAACACTCTGGGGTGCAGTGACCTTGCCACAACAGTGCTAATTACAAAGACTTTGATTTTACATCAAAAGATATGTTCTATTTAGTGTCAAATCCACTCATTTTTGTGGGATGCTGTATTTGGGGAGCCTCTGGGATGCTTCTGGGGAAAGGCTGTTATTTTCTCAATATACTGGTTACATTCAACTGGCTTCTGGTTAATCCCCAAACACATAAGGACAGGAACAAAATATATGAACTCTGGTCCTGGAAATGGTTTCCAGTCCTGCAGACAAGGATTTGTGTCCATTTAAGGCAATGCCCAAATGGTAGTCAAGAGTCACAGAATCTTAGAATGGTCTGGGCTGGAAGGACCTTAAAGCTCACCTCCTTCCACTCCCATGGGCAGGGACACCTTCCACTAGCCCAGGTTGCTCAAGCCCCATCCAACCTGGCCTGGAACACTTCCAGGGATGGAGCAGCCACAGCTGCTCTGGGCAACCTGTGCCAGTGCCTCAGCACCTCACAGAGAGGAATTCCTTCCCAATATCCCATCTAACCCAACTCTCCTTCAGTTTTTGTACCCTGAGCCACACAGACTCCTGTACTATACCTCGCCCTCTGTAAGTCTAATTCCCAGAGACTCTGTGCTCCCAGATGACTGCACTGTACAACACTGGGGTATTTTTTTAGCTCAGCTGAAACAAACAGTGCTGAAGTAGATTTATGGATAAAACCCTTCTCCAAGGGGGAAAGCACCGAGCTCCCTTCCCAGCACAGCTCTCAGTCCAGCCAGGTCCTGAATGCTGTGCAACAAGGAAGCTTTTCATCAGCTCACTCGGGAAGCTGAGCCTCTATTATTGCTCATCCCTTACCTATTGATGGGCACCACACTGTGAAAATACTACAGCACAGCTGGAAGAAAAGAGCATCACTTACTGTATAAGTTCTCTCATAGAGATTCCTCCTTCTTTTAACATGGGGGTCACCAACTCGGCCAGGTACAACCAGATATGGGGTATATCTATGGCCATGTCGTCTGCCATCTCCAAGGTCTCGGAAAAGCTTTAAAAAGAGAAGGAAAAACAAAGTGTTAGATACAATTTAACTGAAGACTTTTCCTGCAAAGGAAATCTGCACTTTTAACAATCTTTTGTTACAGACAAGAGGAGTGAAAGAACCACAAAGGTAATAATAAAGCTATTGCCATCTTATGCTTTCAGTGCTTCAAAACTGCCAGGAGTGAATTTGTGGAACCTGTGGAAATGGCATCACCTTTTGTACAACCAGCAGATACATCCAGAAAAGCTCCAATTACAGTAATTATATCCCACTACCAAATCATTTGCTAACTAGTAAAACCCATAAAGCTAAAAAGCATTTTGGTCTATAAATACAAACCATCTATTAAATGGAGCCTTCTTAAAAACACCCAAACATTTACAGAAGGGGGTTAATCATAACAGAGCCCCAAATGTAAGGCAGGCACTGAATGCCTGTATGTTAAACACCACAGAAAATAGCTCAGTGTAACTACCAAATCATTTGCTAACTAGTAAAACCCATAAAGCTAAAAAGCATTTTGGTCTATAAATACAAACCATCTATTAAATGGAGCCTTCTTAAAAACACCCAAACATTTACAGAAGGGGGTTAATCATAACAGAGCCCCAAATGTAAGGCAGGCACTGAATGCCTGTATGTTAAACACCACAGAAAATAGCTCAGTGTAGCAGAGCTGCCATCTAATTAGAGAACTGCTTCCCAATGACACAGACTCTAGAATGGCTCAAAACCCTTTTCCTATAAAACCTTTGCAGGTGGCTTCTCTTCCCATGCCTGGTATAAGGTGATAGTGTTTCTGTCTCTCCTGCCAGTTTTCAGCATTTCTCCCTGAAAACCCTGAACAGTTCAGTGTGTGGTTTAGTGACTGCAAATGCACATTTTCTCTTGTGTTTCACACCCAGAAGTCACCTCCTTTATTTTGCATTTCGCATCCTCTGCTGCTCCCTTAGCCTAGGCCTGTCCAAGCCTTTCTGCCAGGAGCTGGTTTCTCACTGTGCATCTCCCAGACGTGGGCTGTGACCACTGCCTGTCCCACACCCCTCATCACACCGGACTCTGCTGTGAGTCTGCGGTGGTTTGGTGTTCTCCTCACGCACCCACTGAACACCACTTGCCCTTTCATCATCTCCAGGAGCTGTTTCATGTTGTTTATGCCACATTCAGACCACACATCCAAATAGTTCATCAGGATCCACTTATCCACACTCCAGGAAACACTGAAACAGCTTTAATCACAATCCGTTATGGAAATGCATCACTTGAACTGAGTCCTTCTGACCATCAGCACTGTGTGGACACAAGTGTACTCCCTATGAGTATACATTTTTTCCTGCTGTTCCATATGGCTTTATGCTTGGGCTGCCTAAACCTCTCCTGTGAGCCCAATGAAATTCCTGGCCTGACATGGGCACAGGGAGATCCCTGTGGGAGTGGTCAGCAGCACCACGGTGAGACAGGATTCATAGAAGCAGCAAGACACAGACAACTCCGCAAAAACTCAGAGTCTGAGGTGTTACTTCACCTGCTTGTTCACTGATTGCCTTTGTGGATATCCTTGTCTCACCTGCCCTGCCCTACGGCCCAGCAAGGACTGAGTGGTGCCAGGGACCATCCTGGGAGCATGGATCCTTTTAGCACTGGACACCAGGCTGGGAACACAAAATCCAGAGAGCTGACACGAGCCAGCAGCCAAACTCAGGTCTCTTGAGACAGGTCTATCCCATCTGGGACACGTTCTTCTCCTCAGCCCCTGGAGGATCCTCCACTCCTAGCTGAGGTGCCCTGGGAAATCGTGGGGCATGGGTGAACCCTTTTTCCCGGTGGGAGAGCAGCTGTGAGGCTTCAGGCTACTCAGCTCCCAGACAGAAATGCCATGTGGAGATTTCTAACTTCTTCCTCCTCTCGCAATGGCATTGGGTGATTTGCCAAAATGTGAACATTGACAAATGTGTGCAGAACAGAGATCTAAACACACACACTGAAACAGACACCTACAGATCTGCTTAGCAATAAATTCTGATACAAATATGAACACATTTCCATTCACTAAAGCCTCTGAAACACTTAAAAGTATGTTACAATATCTGTATCACAAATCGACCAAGGTGAAAATTCTTCAAAAATGATGTGTGGAGAGGACAGGATACCAAAGCAAGGTGGAAAGTCATTCCCCTCTAGCACAGAGCTCATTTGCAAGGAACATGGAGGAAAATAATCCATTCTAAGCATGCTACGTGCAGAATACCAACCCCTTGAAGAAATCCTGCTTGCTCAGCTTTCCTGACTGCACCAACTGATGTAACAACTGGCCCATGTGATCCCTGGTGATCTGACTTCGCTCCAGCGTCGACTCCACTCCCACTCGCACAAACACGGGCAGCAGGCTCTGGGCACTGAGCTCCTCCACGCACTGCATGGCCTCCTGTTAACGACACACAGCCTCAGCCCCGGAACGGCCACGGCCACACGCAGGCCAGGCGAGGAGTCTCCACCACAGCACTGGGGGTTTGGGGTAAAGTGTTCAGTGTGGCTGCCAGGCAAAGCGCCGAACTAGGCAGTGGAGCCTCGTCAGGAACCACCACTGAGGCGGCAACTGACTAATAATAATACCAACAATAGTAATCTTAATAATGATGGAATTTACACCACCCAGGCAACACTTTTTAAAGGACACAATCACACTCCAGGGTACAGCTTAGTGAAATGATGGGGAATGTCCCTTGGATGCCCCCGGAACACCCATTATTGCATCAGACATCACACCGAGCCAAAAGGAGGCATCAGGTTAGATTTGTTACTGATCTGACCTGGCACAAACACCCACGTTACAAACCACATCACATCAAGGATGTCAGGGAGCATTTAGAGGAAAAATTCCACTTGCTAAAGCTCCTACTTTCTGGCCTGTGCATTTTGTAACCTAAGCAATTCAAACACTTCAATAGAGACCTTCAGAGGGATGCTCAATGTCACATGTCAAAAATCTCCACTGCCATCAGCAAGAACCTTCCAGATCAACCCACTGATCTCAGCAGGCTTCCTGACCAGAGACACCTGCCCTGTGACTCAGGTTGTGCCTTGAGTTGTCCAGCACTGGCAGCCCCAGATGCATTTCTGCAGGCCCTGAACAGCTTTTTTTGCACAGGTCAAAGCCTGTCGGTCCTCGCCCGTGCTGGGTCGGAGCTCGTCCGTCAGATGCTCCGACAGACCCTGCTGTCCCCAGGACACAGCAGTACCATGCTGCTGGCCAACCCTGCTGTCACCAGACACTGGTGCACAGCTCAGCAGTTTGAATTCACAGTCAGGTCAAACACTGAGGACCAAACTCCTGCAAAAGGGCTGTGCCTCTGCTGTACCCAAAAGCAATGTCCCCAGGGGTGGCTACAGTGACGTGGGTTAGGCTGAGTCAGTCACAGCTTCGCTGCATCTGAACACCACCAAGAATTCCTCA